GAGCAGTCAAATGCTGTGCTATTTGATCCAAGTGCAACAGGACCAAAAGTTCTGTAGACTTCTCCTACAGGTCTCCTTCACCTCTCCTTCACCTCTCCTCTCCTCTCCTCTCCTCTCCTCACCTCTCCTCTCCTCACCTCTCCTCTCTTCACCTCTCCTTCACCTCTCCTCTCCTCTCCTCTCCTCTCCTCTCCTCTCTTCACCTCTCCTCTTGCCTTCATCCTCCTCGTCCTCCTCGTCCTCCGAGTTCTCTCCGTAAATGTTTCTCCTTTCTGCTGATTCTGGTCATCACCTATTTTTCTCATCTCTCTCGCTAGATCCCTGATGATAAGCGCGCAAGAGCCGAGAGGAAGCGACTTGAATTTGCGAGGGCCGAGAGAGAAAGGGAAGCGAAGAAGGTCCTGCTCCTGCTCCTCCTCTTCGTCTGCCTCTCCTCCTCTGCTCTTCTCAGCTCCAACCAGGAGGCTCTTCTTGCGATGATCTCCCGGCTCTCGAAAAGGCTCTCGAGCTCTGCTGGGGTTTCTGAATCTCCAACTCCGCGCTTGCTCGAGGAGGAGACGATGCTCGACGTGGCGGTGACGCTGATCGAACATGGCGACCTTGACAGGTAAAGGAGGTTGAGGGGCGTCATCTAGGAGGAGCAGGAGGAGGAGGAGGAGCAGCAGGAGCAGCAGGAGAGGCAGGGAAGGGGGAGGGAGGTTGGATTCCGATTGGAGGGAGGAGGAAGTGGCGGGAGGAGGAGGAAATGACGTGGGTGATACCGTAGAGCTGAGAGAGTCTGTCACATGGCTCAGCGTCGGGTCGAGCGTCTGGAGTCCAGCTGGATGGAGCAGATGCTCGAGAGCGAAGAGCTTAAATTTCGAGTCCCGAAGAGCAGCGCGAGAGGAGAAGAAAAATGTCAGGAGAAGAAGAAGCCGGTGATGCAAGAGGACTCCAGGTGGCAAAGTGTTGTTTCTCCTCTTGTTCTCCTGCTCTATCTCCCCCTGCTCCTCCCCTGCTGTAGTCGCTCCTACTGCTGCTGCTTAGCTTAAGTCTGATCGCTCAGCTTGTCTGGTCCTTTGCTGGTGTCCACGTCTCGCGGGGACAAGGAGCAAGTGAAAGTGAGCGAGGAGGGGCGAGAGGGGGAGGAGAGTGAGGGGGCGCTGCTAACCCCTCGCAGGGAATGGCGCCATCCTCGTCGCCATCCTCGTCGCCATCCTTATCCTCGCAGCTTTTCATCTCGTCGGCGATGGAGGTGGAGGGAGAGGAGGAGGCGCAGAAGGCTGAGGCTGATGCAGGACGAGAAGACAGTTGAAGAGGACCTGCAGTCCTGGTACGTGAGAGATGAGAAGACTTGAGGGAGGAGAGCGCGTGAGGACGGAAGGAGGGAGGAGGGAGGAGGAAAGAAAGAGGAGGGAGCTGACGGGTTTCAGTGAGGTGGCAGAAAAGGGGAGAGGATGCTTACACGCTCGTGCTTGCACGGCGTCGCTGCTTGGGGGGAGCAGGAGGGTCAGCACGAGAGCCTCTACAGCAGATGACGTCACCTCAAGCAACGAGCAGTCGCTGCTGTGGCTGACGATGCTCCATGCCATCTTCTGGGACTGAGATCCTCCCTCCCTCCGTCCCTCCGTCCCCTCCGTCCCCTCCGTCCCCTCCCTCCGTCCCTCCGTCCCTCCCCCTTCTTTGTAACGGCGTACTTGTCGGAGAAAGCGGGCCAGACATACAAATAGACTGTACAGATTCAAACGTCTCTCCTCCTCCTCCTCCTCCTCCTCCTGTCGCTCATCCCTCTTTTCATCGGCTCTCGAAGCTCGCGAGACCGAAGTACTGGAGGGGGAAGGGCATGTTCGGGTCGAAGGTCCAGCTAAGAAGAAAGTCAGCGAGGAGGCGAAGAGAATGACGATGGTTGTTGTGACGATGATAATTTAGAAGACGATGCTGCTGCTGCTGATGATGATAATGATGATGATGACGACGACGAAGACGGCGATGGAAATGATGATGATGATGATGATGATGATGATGATGATGATGATGATGATGATGATGATGAGGAGGAGGAGGAGGAGGAGGAGGAGCATGAGGAGGAGGTGTATCAGCTGCAGTGGGGAGCGAGGGAGCAGCAACCGATTCATGCGAGGATCAAATACTTCCACCACCGCGCTGCACGCGTCCTACATGCTGACATCAGTTTCACCCCCTCCCTCTGCCTCCTCGCCTCTGCCTCTCATCCACTTGCTTGCTCTCTTCCTCCCTCCTCTCCCTCCCCCATTGTCCTCCCTCTCCTCACCTCCACATCACATCCTCCCATCGCATAGAGCATCTCCCCGCAGTTGGCCAGCGACAGGTCGTATCGCTTCAAGTGACAGGATGCCGTCCGCTGCCACCTGCTCCCTCCCTCATCCTCCGCCTCTTTCCCCTCCTCCCTTACCTTCCCACTCGCGGATCCAGGCAGTCGACTGCCTTGAGGTGCCCCCTCAACTGGTTGTATCCTCCGACCACGTACACGGCCCCGCAGCAGACGGCAGCGCCGCATGCGAGTCGAGGCTCAAGCATGTCCTGAGACAAAGAGAAGCAGTGGACCAGAGATGAGAAGAAACAAGAGAAGAGGAGAAGGAAAAGAGGAGCAGGCACCGGCTCTGCTTTCCACGTCATGGCGATGGGATCGAACGAGTGGACGGCTGATAAAATGTCCTCCTCCTGATCGAAACCTCCCAGCACAAAAAGTCTCCCATTGAGAGCGGTTCCTCGGCAGCTCCTGTGACTGTAAACATGGTGATCATGGGAGGGAAGAAAGAAGAACAAGGAGAGAAAGACCAGAAGGATGAGAAGGCTGAATGAAAAGGTAGAGAGACAGAGGGGAGGAGGGGAAGAAAAACCTGAGAGGAAGGGAGGGGCAGCAGTCGCTCCATTGGTTCCTCTCAGGGTCATAAACCTCCACGTCTGTCGTTTCTCCTCCAATGGCGAAGAGTTTCTCTCCTCCCACCAACATCGCGAAGTCGGACCTGAGGCATAAGAGGGCCATGAGGGACAACTGGAGGAGGAGAGGAAAATGAGGACAGGAGCAGCATGAGGGGAGGAGGAGGGGAGGGCGGGGGGAGGGAGAAGGAGGAGGGGTGCAGTAGGATGGTGGGAGCAGTAGGAGGGGAGGAGGAGGGGAGGTGGGGGGGAGGAGGAGTAGGAGGGGAGGAGGAAGAATGTATTCCTACCTGGGCTGAAGCATCGTAGCTCGCTTCTCCCACCGCTCATCTCGAGCATCGTAAAGCTCCAAGGTGTCAAGAGGGCTGCGAGGACAGTGAGGAGAACACGAGGAGCGAGACGGGAGCAGCCGATTGTGATGGAGAGGAGGAGAAACCTGTGGAGGTGTCCTCCAGCGACGTACACCTGATCTCTGAGGGAGCAGACGGCATGAGCGTAACGAGCTCCTCCTGACATCGGCTCCATGTCGATCCATACTTTCCTCCTCGTGTCATACCTTCATATCCCGTCACTGTCCTTCTCTCCCTCCTCTCCTCCCACTCTTCCTCCCTCACCGGCTCATTACAGCCACCTCCAAGTCTCCTCGCTTTCCTCCGATGGCAAGAAGAAATCGCTGAGCAGCGTCATGACGTGCGAGAGGCGCGAGGGCTCACCCGCTTGCTTCCTCGTTCGCGAAAGGAGTTCGACAGAGAGAGCAGGCAGCTTCGAGTGGCTCCCGCCCTCTCCTCCTGCTCCTCCTGCTCGTGCTCCTCCTTCCTGGCCTCTGACTCGAGCAAGCTTCTGACCTTCTTCTCCATGGCATCGAGGTCCTGCTGGTGAGAGTCGCGCAGCAGCTTGAGGAGGAGGAGGAGAGGAGCATCGCAAGGGGCAGGAGCATAGAGCTGCTCCAACCATTCCACTAGCTCGCTCATGCACTCGCGCGACAGCAGTCCCATCCTCACCTCCCGCAAGAGAGCAGCAGCATCTGGCAGGCGTCTCGTCCGGTCCAAGTCGGTCCACCGCATGATGAAGCCGACGGCGTCCTCTTCGCGGAAGAGCAGCAGGTCCTCCGAGCGAAGCAGCTCCAGCACTTGCCTCCCTCGCACCGCCCGGACGAACCCTTCACTCCCGAGCAGCCTCGTAAAGTTATCAAGCACAAACTCACGGCACTTGCTTTCCACTTCCTCCTCTCCGAGATCCTCTGCCAGCCCCCAGATGCTCGCGCAGTTACTGATATTGAGAAGCTGCTTCACTCGCTGCCGGCAGAGCTGCTGGAGCTGCTCCATCCCAAGCACGTCAGCTGCTCGCATCAAGCCATGCAGGTTCTCGGCGGACAGCTCGGCCTCTCCTGTGTAGAGGAACTTGAGGACGAGACGGAAGGTGGACGGAAGCATCTGACAGCCAATCAGACGCGAGGCAGGTGCAGGGGGAGAAGCTTTACATCTTGTATGTTGGCACATCGCGATACACTTTCACTGAGCCCGATTCCAAACATGGCGTCGAAAAACTTACTGCCAGAGCAGACGACAATCCTGAGCAAGCCTCACCCTCTGCTTTCGATCTCGAATGAGCCTCCTGACTTGCCTGTGACACGGGAACTCGCTCTCTTGTACTCTGATGGTCACGTCTGTGAATCTGTTGGCCAGCATGCTCTCGTACATCTTGTAGCATCGACTCGCTAAGTCTCGAGAGGTCATAACGGCGCAACCGCCCTGACTTGTCGCGGCTCGCACTTGTTGTGCCACCAAATGTGACACGCCTGGGCTGTTTTCAGTGCAGGGAGGGTCAAGAGCAGGAGGGTGGAGGGATCAGGAGCAGGAGAGAGACAGGGATTCAAGAAGAGGATGCTAAGCCAGCTGACCTCCTGTCTCTCCTTCTTCTCGCTTCCTCTTCGTCCCCGACCCTTCAGACTCGCTGTCGTCCCCTCCTGCCATTTTATCACTCTCAAGGCGACCAAGTTCGCCTCAGAACAAACACCACGGGCCGCCGGGTATGGACTGATCCCGATCCAACTGAGTGACTTTCCGTTACAGGTACAACACGATGCCGCAATTCAGTTACGGGATATCGACGTCTCTCGTGGCATCCCTCATCATGTACCCCCACCCCAGTGAAACAACCGAACATGGTACTTACCTACCCCCCCCTTCCTCATTCACCCCCATCTCTCATTGCGAACTGTGGGCCTGCGTGGGGTGGGTACATCAGTGATGTAACGGGGTTGCTCATAGATGCCAATACAATAGATAACGAGTTACTAAGAGTTTTTAGTTAATCAAAACAATAGTATACCTAGTTTTTTTTTCACTAAGTATGAGCGCATCCTGGTATAAGTTTTCAAAAATGATTGGAAATATTATGGCTAATATTTGAAATATACTTGATTTTTTTTCGAGCTCAATGTGTTGCTTTTCTGACGGGTCATCCATGGTGTTAGGGGGTAGGGTGACTGAGATACCGGTACAAATCACTGATAAAGTACCCCTCAAGAGAATCACCAGCAGGACCCCGACCCCATCGAGATTGTGACACCCCTTGTTAGATGCGGATAAAGTCTTCTTACCACGGTAGGTAGTGACCCCAACCCATGAGAACTCCACCTTGTACCCCCTACTTTCCCCAAACCGTGGTAACTGCGGGAAAATGCATGGTGGGGGGTACCACCGTTTGGAATATGGAATAAATGGGGGTAGGGGTGATTGTCTTCAGGGGGTGCTTGGTCCTATTGCAGTGTGTGGCACAAACAGTAGGGTGGGGTGAAGTACCCCTATGGGGTAAATCATCGAAAATTCTCTGTGAGAAGGGGGTAATGAATGAGAGCAGTACCCCCTTCGTTGAGTACGGGTGGCTCAATTCATAAGGATAATTGTGGGGTAAGTGATTTGAGAATCCCCAGGCAGGGTGGGTAGTGCAGGACCCTCATTCTGCATGACAAAGGTGGGGTCTTTTGGTGAGATTGAAGTGGGTGGGGTACTCTCAGATTAATGGGGGTAGGGTAGGGGTAGGGTGGGTATAGGGAAAGGGGACGGGAGGATGTGACAAGTTTCTCCACCATGCTGCGATCAGCCGTCGCCTTCGCGCTCGCCGCCTCTGCTGCTGCCTTCGCTCCCTCCCCTGTCCTCCCCAGGGCTGCTCAGAGTGAGTACTCGATTCAGTGCATGTTCCAGCTCTTCTGTGTGCTCTTTTCTCGTGCATGGAAGATCAGAACTGTGACTGAATTGCGGAGGGCCGGGAACTTGCTTGGGAGGTGGCGAGAGAGCAGATGCAGTTTCGCTGCTTCTTAGCATAGGCGTTTTGTGCGAGTTCGTTGTTCTCTCTATGTTTGCACAACTTGTTTGGCTTTGTGTGTTTTAGCAGCAAGTACTCACATCTTGATATGGACTGTTGTGATGGATCGATTGGGAGGACTACGCTGATGTCGTCACAGGGGCTGCCGCTGCTCGCAATGGTCCCACCATGCAGCTCTACAAGGAGGGTCAGCTTCAGGGTGCCACCGTCAACCTCTATTCCTTCTTGGAGCGCCCCCCTGCTCTCGATGGAACCTGGGTTGGTGATGTTGGCTTTGACCCGCTCGGCTTTTCCAACATCATCGACATGCGCTGGCTTCGTGAGGCTGAGTTGAAGCACGGACGTGTCTGCATGCTTGCTGCCACTGGAATGATTGTTCAGGACGTCTACCAGTTCCCTGGAGTCACCAAGACCTTCGGTCAGCATGTCGACGGGTAGCGAGATCTGAGAGCTGACATGGGAGCAGGTGCCGCCAAGATGACTGCGCTTCACGATGCTGCTGTCAAGCAGGGAGCCATGCAGCAGCTCCTCCTCTGGCTTGGATTTATCGAAATCTTCGGCTTCGTTGCCATTGTTCAGATGCTCCAGGGATCTGACCGTCAGCCCGGAGACTTCGGATTTGACCCCCTCAACTGCGCCAAGAACCCCAACGTAACACATCGCTCGGGCATGTCGCATGTTCTCACACCCTTGCAGGCCCTCGCCCGCCGCCAGCTCGTCGAGTTGAAGAACGGCCGCCTTGCCATGGTGAGTGTAGAGGAGGAGGAAGGGACTAGTGATGACGTGACGTGTCTGTCTAGATCGCCACCGCTGGTATGCTTCACCACTACTTCATCACCGGCAAGGGCCCCATCGAGCTCATCACTGGATAAATATTGACAACATAGAAAGTACTGCATGCATGGATACACTTGTTTTTTTTTGAAATGAAAGTATTTCGAACTTCCTCCTCGTTTCTTTGTCGTTCACTTCGCTTCCTCTGCCTCTTCCTCTGAGGCCTCGATGACTAGATCGCCGTCCTCTTTAGCCACCTTTGCCACGTCAGCGTATGCGCGTCTTGAGGCACTTCACCTGCTTCGGCAGAAGATTCAAGAACGGTAGAGGGAGCAGTCCTGACAGGTTAGTGATGACGATGAGGAGTGGGAGGTTGCTGTACGACATCAGAAGTGAGAGGACAAAACAAAGCTTGCCTGAAGTCTTTCTCTGTCACATGTAGAGCCTTCGTCATGAGACCTCCCAGAACTGCTCAGCATGTCACGCCTACAAGCCTCCCTTCCTCCCTCGCTCCCCTTCTCGCTCCCTCGCTCAATGTTTATGTCTTCCCCTCCCTTGTCTCTCCTTCTTCCTCGCACCTGAACCAAGACTTCCGGACAGGTTGTTCACCGACATCAGGGCAGCGTACAAAGATGCCTCGACGCTTCAGGGACATTAGCAAGGGGCTCAGCCTTCTCTCTCGCTCACCCGGGGGGGCAGATGTTAGCCCCTAGCACGAGGACGGGCATGAAGGCGATCTGACGGCAGGTGTCAGCGCCTGAGACCTCGGGCCGCCTCTCACCTGCCCGAGGACGGTCAAGATGACGTCATCGCCGATGGCGAACAGCTGCAGGCATGTCAGAGTAGCTCGACCTCAGCTGGAGAGACCTGGTCGGGAAGGCCCAGGAGGCGGTTGGCGTGCGTGACGAGCAGGAGCGGTGACATGCCGAGCACAACGGCGATCAAGCAGATCCACCTGGCAGAGGTCACGCGAGCTGCTGCAGACTGGGAGGCTGCAGACTTGAAGAGGACGCGGAGAGGGACGCGCTTGAGCTTCTGATCGTAGATGATGATGCCGAGCAAGGAGGAGAGGGAGGAGACCTGGTCTGACCATCAGCAGCAAGGAGAAGATCACAAGAGGAGGAGGAGAGAAGAGGAGGAGAGAAGAGGAGGAGAGAAGAGGAGGAGAGAAGAGGAAAAGAGAAGAAGAGAGAGAAGTGGCTCTGCTACCAGACTCAAGCGACCCAGAAACTCAGGCGTGAAGCTGCGAGCAAGTCAGGGAAGGAGAGGAGGTGAAGGTCTGCCGATGCTTCTCACTCACCCTAGCTCGTTGGTCTCAAAGAAAAAGAGTGCAGAGCCTGCATGAGAGGTTAAAAGAAGGAGGAGAAGGAGAAGAGGATGACCTGACGTTGGTGTTGATTGCCAGAGAACGAGGAAGGTCACAGGCAGCAGGATGCTCCTCTTAGAGAAAGCTCCCCACAGCAGCGACCCCTGAGACTTGAGGTGGGAGAAGAAGCTGCTCTGCGGGGTCACGTCGATGACTTCCTCCTCCTCGGCGGGCTTCTGCCACCAACAGGTGAGAGGGGAGGGAGGGAGGGAGGGAGGGAGGGAGGGAGGGAGGGAGGGAGGGCGATGGCACTAACAACAGGGGAGGACAAGGAGAGGGAAGTTAGGAGGGACAAGGGCAGACAGGAGGAGGAACCTCGTCAATGAGCCCAGCGACTCCTGAAGTGATGAGAGGGAAGAGAGCTGCTTGCTGGTCACACTCCTCCTCCTCCTCCTCCTCCTCCTCCTCCTCCTCCCCATCCTCACCCGTCAACGAGAAGACCCAGGCTGGACCGAAGCTCTGGACCTGCGAGGGGTAAGAGGAGGGAGAAGGCCCAGCACGGGCTCACCAGCTGACCAGACGCGTAGGCGCTGAGGAGAGACCCTAGAGCAGAGGAAGACCAACAGAGACTCTGAAGAGAACCTGACGAGAAGTCAACTACTCCTGCTCTCTGCTCCTGCTCCTTCCATCGAGAGCACCTGCTGTACTTTGATCTGCTCCTCGCGACCTCGTGACAACGAGGGCATCAACGAGCACGTCAGAGAAGGCGAGGCCTGCTGCTCGTGAGCGACTCCCTCCCTCCCCTCCCCTGCTCCACCTAGCGACGACAAGGTGACCAGAGCTACCTGCGCATTCCTGTGAGCACGAGCAAGGAAGAGGAGGAGGAAGAGGAGAGTCAGGAGAAGTAGAGTCAGGAGAAGTAGAGTCAGGAGAAGTAGAGTCAGGAGGAGGAGGAGGAGGAGGAGGAAGAGGGTAACAGATCATCGTACCGAGGCTGCGGCAGGGACAGAGCCCAGGAGGCCGCACGAGTTGGCGCTGGGAAGGAGCAGCCGTGAGCTGGTGGAGGAGCGAATGATTCTAACCTCGCGCATCCTGCGAGGAGAGAAAGTGAAGCCCAAGAAACGCTGCCGAGTAAACCAGAGAGAATCTGACAAGAAGAGAGATCAGAAGTAGATGATGATGATGATGATGATGATGATGATGATGATGATGATGATGATGATGATGATGATGATGATGATGATGATGATGATGATGATGTAATGGAGGGCAAAAGAGACCAGGTAGCTTCTCCTCTTGTATCCGAACAGCGGGAATCCATCTGAAATGAAGCCATAGAGAGGTTTGATGACCCAAGGAAGCACCTGACGCGTGTGAGCTCGAGCAGTCAGAAGGTGAAGCAACTTGGATGGATGAGACGAGCGCAAGCTCCGCCGGACCTGGAGACACATGGGATGAGAAAGACGGAAATGACGAGGAGACGGAGCAGGAGAAGCGGGTAGGAGCAGAGAGCAGGAGCAGAGAGCAGGAGCAGGAGCAGGAGCAGGAGCAGGAGCAGGAGCAGGAGCAGGAGCAGGAGCAGGAGCAGGAGCAGGAGCAGGAGCAGGAGTCTGAACTTGCTGGCACAACTGACCGAGGTGAAGGGAATCCTTGTAGTAAAAGGAGACGGCCAACCGCGATATCCCTAAGATTCCTTGAACGAAGTAGACTATAGCGATGGCCCAGACCTGAACCCGTTCAGCTATCGCCTCCGCCCCATCTGGTTTCTTCCTTCTCGCTCGTCGTTGTCCTCTTCCTTTTCCTCTCTCCATCTTTCTCTTTCTCATCCCCTCCTCTTCTACTCCCTCCGCTTCTTCTGCCTGCCTCTTCTCCTCTTTCAAACTCACCTCTGCTGTTGCTTCCACGCCGAAGAACTGAACTCGCCCGCTCTCCGAGAAGGAGATGGGAGGCTTTTGCTGCCTCTCCTCCTGCTGCTGCACCTGACATCGGAGAGTCTGTCCGCTCCTCCTGTCCCGTCGGCTTCTCGAGCAAGGCAAGGCAGGTCGGCATGTCAAGAAAGACGCCGGGGCGCCACAAGCAGCGGCAGCAGAGGAGAAGGTGCTGCAGTCCCCGCGAAGGGGGAAGGAGGATCTGCCAGATGAATGGATGAGCAGGAGGTTGGCAGGAGAACAAGTCTGGCAGGACCTGAGAGGAGGAGATGGAAGGAACGCTGCTGCAGGAGCAGAGAGGAAGACAAGCAGCGGAGCTGACGTGGACCAACCCATCCCTTGCTCGTGTCCCAAATATCAGTGCTGAACTCTCATCAGACCAAGGTCGTCCACTCCCATGAATCTCTGGAGCTCAACAGTCAGGATGGATCATCATGCGATTAGATTGACAGCTTCTCTTCTTTGCTTGTCATCGACACCCTCACACAAGCACATTCCCTCTGAGCTTGCTCACACACCCGCTTCTATTCCCTGTCTATTGTCATCCTGCACTTCCTTCAATCCCTTACGTCTCTCTCCCCCTGTCTTCACGAATCTCGGTTTGCTGCCAACAGTCTCGCATATCTCGCGTCAAACAACAGGTGTCCTCTCTTCTCTGTTCTCTCTTCTCTCAAGCATGCTGGCTCTCTGTCTTGATTTCTTCTCGCTCTCTACTTCGTGTATGTTTCTTTTCGTTTCCTTTCAATGCCTCTTTCTGCTCAAGTCCCTGTCTTCTGACGATCACATCAATGTCTTATCATTCATGGATTTGTTTCTTCATGTGCTTCACTTTGCATCAAATTGGAATTTGATTAATGTAAACCTATGATTATGCTCCTGAGCATATCCTGCCCCTTCCTGTATCCCCTCATTCCAATATCCTGCTGACATCTCCTGTCCTGTCCTGTCCTGTCCTGTCCTGTCCTGTCCTGTCCTGTCCTGTCCTGTCCTGTCCTGTCCTGTCTTATCCTCTCCTCTCTCCTGTCCTCTCCTTTCTTATCCTCTCTTCTCTCCTGTCCTCTCCTGTAATTGTCCTGTCCTGTCCTCTCCTCTCCTCTCCTCTCCTCTAGTCTCCTGTCCTCTCCTGTCCTCTCCTGTCCTCTCCTCTAGTCTCCTGTCCTCTCCTCTAGTCTCCTCTCGTCTCCTCTCCTCTCTTCTCGTCTCCTCTCCTCTCCTCTCCTCTCCTCTCCTCTCCTCTCCTCTCCTAAGCGCCTTACATGGCCTCCTCGAAATGGTCAAACTCGTGGTCAAACATTTTGTACTGATAATACTGTGGCTCGAAACGGTCAAAAACGAACAAGTAACGTACGTAACGACGATGGTTTCGAACGTAAAATGCATACACCCACCAATGCGCCATGGAGTTGGAAGAGGAAGATGAGGGGAGAGGAGAAGATGTAGAGGAGAACGAAGGGCACAGAGGGGTCAGTGCATGTACAGGTAAAATGCCAGCAATAGACAGTTGTTGATACATGAAGAGATGAGAGCAGAAGACTATTCGTATCCACAACGATCTGACACCAGGCTCGTTTCCTACCAGCAGGCATTTTCCATGGAGCATGGAGATACATGAGTATCAGCATAACCAAGCCGCTCTTGACAGCGCATCTCCTGACAAGGATGAAGAGAGCGTTCCTCTTATGCATGGCGACTGGACGTGGAACGGTAGTGCCCCATTGTTCGCTTCCAAAACCTTGTGAGCGGGTCTCAGCGGAAGCTCATGAACATGCAGGAGAGTGTTGGGTCAAGGCGGACGGACACGCATATGACCCCGTGCTGAAGCGACTCTTCAAGGATGGAGTCCTGGTGTTCCAGGAGGACTGCGAGGAACATGGTGCGGAAGGAGGACACGAGCTGGAGGGCTCCGCTCATCGGGAGGGAGAGCATGAGGCTTGCGATGCCGTCACGTACGGTGATTGGATCTGGGATGGTGCAGATGAGCGTCTGTGAGGCTGTAGGTACTGACGGTAGCGGCAGGCGAGATGTGGGTGACGGCAGACGGGTTCTCCTACCATCCGCTGCTGCAGCAGCTGTTCAAGCACGGAGAGCGAGTCATGCACGAAAGCTGCGAGGACAGCGAGAGGTTGCGACATCATCTGCTCGCTCAGGATTATGTGGCCAACTACGGGACTGAGAGGAGCGTCGAGATCGGAAAAGAGGAGGAGGAGAGAAAGGCGCAGGGGGAACGAGTGACCTTGAACGAGGCGGAGGAGGAGCGGGGGGTTGATAGAGAGCAGGTCATGGAAGGGGAAGATGCGAGCGAACAACTTGCGGGTGCTAGCGGGGAGGGAGCAAAGGAGGAGGAGGAAGGGGCGAGCAGAAAAATCAAGAGGTACCATGTGGTGGGAACAAGTGGAGGGACTTTAGGGAGGAGCAAGGTAACGTGATCTTACTTGTGCGAGGAAGGAGAATGAAAGAGCCTGCAGGAGAGCACGGTCTTTGTGCCGAGGTCCAAATTGAGCAGGACGCATGCAAGGATCGTCTGGACCTGCGAGGACAGTAGCTTCGTCCTGCTGGATTGTAACAGCCGACGAGGCACTTTCTGCGATGGGAGGCGAGCAGGGAGTGAGGAAGGAGTGAAGCTCAGGAGAGGTTCGATCTTCTGCCTGGGGCAGCTCGTCAGCTTCCGAGTGAAGAGGATCGAGAGAAAAGAAACAGGAGAAGAGATCCACTTCGAGGAGATCAAATTCAAGGAGCAACATGCCATAGAAGCTCCTTCCCGCCCCGTCGCCCCTCCCCGAGTCTACAGAGACAGAGCGGCAGAACGGCGCTGCCTCTACAACTCGCTCGAGAGTCAAGCAACCCGTCAGGTCACTTCTTCCTACTCCCTCTGCCGCCCCTTCACTTTGGCTCCCTCTCCTCCTCTTCTGTCGCTCTGCTGCATTGTCCTGAGCTGCCTGCAGAAATATTCTGAGCTGCAGCGCGAGCAAGCGGCGCGAGAAGAGGAGTTCTTCAGCCGACAGGACCGTCTCACTGCTGTAGCCCAGAGCTTGGTAGAGAGCGGCAGAGCGACAGGTGTGAGATCTGAGAGGAGGAGAGGGGGAGAGGAGGGACCATGGGGAATTGAAGGGTTGCAAGGCCTCAGGGAGACGTTCCCTGACATTTTGACAGCATGCAAGAGCAAATGCGAATCAACGAGCGAGGAGGAGGAGGAGGAGGAGGACCCCGAGTGGCTGCAGCGGGGGAGGAAAATGCTGGAGAAGATGGGGTGGGAGCATGGCAAGGGGCTGGGCAAGCACAAGCAGGTGAAGCTGCGGTATGTTGCTCGCTTCCTCTTCCTGAACTCATCCCAGGGAATCTCCGCTCCCATCATCCCTTCATCTACTCTCGGCAAGAGCGGCATAGGAGCAGACAGGTAGCGTAGGAGCGGACGGGTTCACTTGTAAAGCTTCGAGAAGAATTTGGAGGAGAACTTGTGCTCGAGGAAGGTGACGGCTAGCAGGACCGCATCCTCACTCGGCGCGCAGCCCTGGAGGGCCTTGACGAGGGAGGCGAGGATGAGCTGCAGCTGCCGCAGCCCCTGCCAGGCTTCCCCGCTGCTCACTCCCGTCTCCCTGCAGACCTGCACGAGGCTCTCGGAGTTGTAGAAGTCCAGCACGAAGCTGCTCAGCGTCTTCTTCCTGCCCCGACTCTCTTCCTGCAGCACTGGGCTCAAGTTCCCGTGCAGCCCCAGCTGAGGGTCAGCAGAGGAGATCAGCTCCTGGTAGTTGCTGAAGGAGCGCTTCGCTGCCCCCGACAGAGCGCAGAAGGAGGAGCGGATTGTCCAGCCCTCCTCTCCTCCTCCGCTCAAGCTCGCGACCACCTCGCTGCTCGGGTCCTGCTCGGACCTGCTGGTCGGGTACGAGACCCCAGAGAGAGGAAGCGAAGCCTCGGCCGGCACCCCTCGCGTTCGAGCAGCAGCTTCAGCTGCAGCGACTGCAGTGAGGAGCGACATGCTGTTGTAGCGGAGGAGGAGGTCTTGGCAGCGCTGGGAAAGAGGAGGAAGCACCACGGTACCCTTGGCCTTGCTGAGAAGCTCCTGGTCCAAGGCGCGGGACTGATGGATGGGATGGCGGACGAAGAAGAAGGAGAGGAGGAGGAGGAGGTCCCTCGCCACCGCATCCATGTTGCGCTCCGCCGATATCTGGCAGATCTCATGCATGACGCCGTTCTGAGAACAAGTGAGGAAGAGAAGGGAAAGGGGAAGGGAGAGGGAGAGGGGGAGGGGGAGGGGGAGCAGTAGCAGTAGGGAGGGGGCAGGAGGTACCTGAAGGAGCCAGAGGAAGGCGAGGTTGGAGGGCTCGAGGAAGTGAAGATGTTGTGCGAGGGAGGCGAGGGGCTGAGGCTCTCCTCGCTCGTCCACCAGCCCCATACGCATCAGCAGCTCGATGGCAAATTTGGCGTGCACCGGGAGGATCCGCTTGACGGCCGGCGACTCGACAGAGCAGTGGGGGAGGAGGAGGCAGCGAGTGATGGAGCTGCGAGCCGCCTGCTCTACGCTTCGGCTGACCCCGCGGACGTTGGGGACGCGCGAGAGGTAGGTGAGGAAGCGGAGGAGGAGGGAGGAGGAGAGGGAGTAGCGGGGCTGCAGGCGAGGGACTGGAGCGACGATGAGGCGGTGGAGCTTGTGGCGAGGGACGTCGAAGAAGATGACGTGGCCGAGCACGTCGAGCCCTCGCCTGCCTGCCCTCCCGCTCATCTGCTGGTACTGGATGGCGTTGAGGGCCACGTGGTCGCCCGCGAAGACGACGGAGCGGCAGGGCATGTTGATGCCGAAGGCGAGGGTCTCGGTGGCGACGACGAGGCGGAGGAAGCCGGAGCGGAAGAGCATCTCGACGGCCATACGGTACTTGTTCTGCAGGCCCGAGTGATGGATGCCGATGCCGCGCCGGAGGATCTGAATGAGCGGGTGAGACTCCCCCATGCTCTTCCTCGCGCTCTCTGTGATCCTCTCAAAGTCGTACGCGCTGCTGCGACCCTCCTGCACGAAGGTGAACTGAGACTTGAAGACAGCCTCGTCCATGTTGCTCGTGTCGAACCTGTCCTCCCCCATCTCTGCCAGCTCCTGGAGCATCTCCTCCTCCTTCTTCTCTGAGATCACCTTGTCTCTCATCCTCTTGTGCATCTTCTCCTTCTGCTCCCGCGTCTTGTCGAAGTTCTTGAGCGTCTTCGCGTGTTCCGTTCGCGCTGCTTCCTCCGCGCTCTTGAGGATCTCGTTGAAGCCCAGCGCGATCCTCTCGCACATTCCTCGCTCGAAGTTGAAAATCACCGCGGGCAGGCGATCCTGCTTGTGCAGCACCGAGCACAACTTGAAGAGGCGCTTCACAAAGTCCTTGCGCCCCCCCTTGCTCGTGCTCTCTTCCTCCTGCTCCTGCTCCTCCTTCCTCTCCACCAGCTTGTTCCCCAGGGCTCTCAGCACCCGGATCGCTTCCTCTTGCCAACCGTTTCGGACCCACAGCAGGAATTCTTCCTTCACCGCCTGCTCATACGCCACCGCCTGCGGCTTCATCACGAACTGCATGTTGTCCTGGAAGAAGGCCTGAGGGTCCAACTTCCCCACTGCCTCCGCGCGACTTGCGATGGCGTCCTGCTCCTTGGCTCTCCTCACCTCCGCCTGCATCTTCTCGTACAGCAGCAGCGAGTCTCTCGGCTCGAACTTGAGGTTCGCCGGGATCGTCGCCGCCTGCAGCTGCGCGCTTGTGAAGCTGGCGAGGGGATGGAGCGAGTCCAGGTACTCCGAGCACTCGATCTTGGACGAGGAGTGATCCACACGAGGACGCGTATGCAGCCTTGCCCACCGCACGAGCTCCTCCGCCTTCACCTCCTGCTCCTCCTCCTGCTCCTCCTCTTCATCCTCCACAAAGACGTGCCTTCTCAGGTCCACCCATCGCTCGTGGTGCTGCACGAGCTTGACAGTGTACGACTCTCTTTCCTCCCCCCCGTCCACCAGCCGCTGCAAGTTCTTCACGGCCTGCAGCCAGCTCACAAACTGCTCGGGCTCTCCGACGGTGGCGCTGAGGGCGAGGAAGGGAGCGTTGGCAAAGAGAAGGATCCTCTCCCACAACCTGCCCTCCTCCGAGCTCGAGATGCAGTGAACCTCGTCGAGGATCACGTAGCGGATCCTCTGGGCCCACGAGGCATTGTCGGGGTCCATCAGCAGCGCCTCGAAGCACTCGGGGACGGTGACGAGAATGCGGCAGGAGAGGGCGCGATGGCGGTAGGAGTCAGTGAAGATGCCGAAGGCGGAGTGGAAGGAGCCGTAGACCTGCGCGGCGATCTGGTTGATGAGAGCCTTGGTGGGAGCGACGAAGACGAGGATGCCGTCCTTGTACCGGCTGTCCCGCATGATCTTCTCCATACAGTAGTAGGAGATGAACGTCTTGCCCGACGACGTCGGCGCGCAGACCAGCGCGGAGTCTCTGCTGTCAACCACGTCCAGGAGCTCGCGCTGCCAGTCGTCCGGGGTGAAGGTGACGATCCTCGGGTCCTTCACCTTGGGCGGCGGGCGAGGAAGCAGGTGGCCCATGTGCTCTAGCTGGAAGTGAGGTGAGCTCTTGCTGAAGACGCTCAGCTTGTTCCGCTGAAACCTCATCAGCTCCTTCACCTCCTCGTCCAGCGCCTCTCGCGCCTCCTTGTCCCCCGCGTCCACCAGCCACTCGGAGACCTTGGCTGCCGCATCCGTGAAGCCCAGTTGGATCATCGTCCGCAGGACCTCCACCCTCGCCTCCTCCGCCGGCTCCCACTTGACCTCCTTCAGCGCCTGCACGTGCACAGTGATGATCGAGTAGACCATCTCCATTGTCAAGATTGCGAACTTCATGTTCTCCCGATGCCCCTCCCTGTCCTCCTGCCACGCGCTCTTGCACTCCCGCAGCCGCTCGAGCGCCACCTGCATGGCGAGCTTCGGCTGTTGGGCGCTGATGCAGCGACGGGAGAAGTCGTCGAGGTCTTTGATCTTGGCGACGGCGTTGGAGGAAGACTTGATCGAGTTCTGCAGCTCTCGCCACTCGCCCTCCAGCTTGTTCTCCGTGCCCTTGGCCTTCTTCGCCTGGATGTCAAGGAGCATCTGCTCCTTCTTCGACAGCTTCTTCTCCTTGGGCTTCTTCTCCTTTCCCTTTCCCTTCCCCTTCTCTTCCACCTCTGCCTCTTCGCCCCTCTCCTCCGAGCTCGCATGCGACCTTGGTGTTGACTTGGGCGTGTCTGAGTTGCTCGAGATAGCCGTCGCCCCTAGCACGGTCGTCCCAGAGAGCGAGGCCGCGTACTCGTGCAGGTGGCGGAAGTACATCTGGCTCTGCCTCGCCTTCCAACGCAGCTGCCTCCTCTTCTCCCACTCGCTCATCGATCGGCTCGAGGGCTCCAGGGAGGCTGACTGGTCCCTGCTGTGCGTCCACAGGAAGCTGGGGAAGTTCGCGTCGAGCTTCCATCCCATCTTCTCCAGGAACGAGGAGCCGGAGGGCATCGCTCCCTCCTCGCTCAGCTTCAGGTCAGCATCCTCCACCCCACTCTCCTTGAGGAACGAGTGCAAGAGCGAGTCCCGTGCGACCGGGAGAGGCTCCAGAGTTTCTTGCATCCCCTCGACTCTCCTCTCAGCACACCCGCTGACGGCCAGAGGAAGGAAACTGCCGGCGATTTCCGTCCCTTCAGCAACGCAGCTCCACATCAGGGCAAGGAGGTCAAGGTCTTGTTGCGACAGGAGCTTCTGGTCGCATCGGCTGGAAAGACTGTGCAAGAGAAGGCCGTCAGCGAAGTCAGTGAGAGAGCTTTGAATGCTCTTCTCCTCCACTAACTTCAGCCCTGAGGTCAACCAGGTCGAGTCCACCACATTCTCTAAGATCTCATCTTGGATTCTCTTCAACACATCACAGAATTCCCCACTCCCTTCGCACCCACACAGCCGCGCGCGCTCGCAGAGGGTGAAGGAGCCTGTCTCGAGCAAGTAGATGTGCTGGATGAACAGCTTGACGGCCTGGACGCTCTTGCTGCACGTCTGATGCTTCGCAGCGACGATGGAGCAGGACCAGAGGCATGCCGCCAGTCGCAGACTCTTGTCGACTTTGCTGAACAGCTGCACGACGATAGGGCGTTGAAGAAACTCAAGTAGGCTCGACTCGTCCGAGCTGGGCGAGCGGGGGAGCTGAGGCTTGCCGATGAAGGAGGACTCACCAAGGGCTGACGATCTGCCGGGGGACGAGAGGTAGAAGGCTTTGACCTCTCTATCTAGCAGCTCCATGCCTTCCAGGAAGAAGAGGTTGTAACCAGAAAAGAAACAATCGAGAGCAAGGGCCTGGAAGGGGCTCCCATCGGAGACCGCGATGGTGGCGGGTTTAAACTCAGAGCAGAAGGTCTTCCACTCTTCGCAGGCAGGAGACTCGAAGTTCTCTGTCTCGAACCCCCTCCCCCTCATCCTCTCCAGGTGCCTCCTCATCAGATCTCGCGCTATCCGCCGCGAGCCCTGCCACACGGCCGCGTGCGAGTCGAAGAACACCACCGCAAAGTTGGACCCCCGGCCCACCAGCTGAGAGAGGAGCAGCTCGAGCAGGTAGGTCACTTGCAGCAGCTGACCCCCCCACCCCCATGCGAGGCTCTCGTCCTCGAAGATGTAGGACATCAACGAGTCGCCCTCGATAATGAACCGCTCGATCTCCCCGAAGTCAGAGAGGACAGTGATGAAGTGAGGGCGCAAGGAGCTGTAGCTTCCTCTCGAAGACAAGAGCTCGCCCTCGGTTGCTAACTCAGGCTCCTTCATCGACTCGGCGTCCCCGAAATCTTCTTCGCCCACCACTGAGCTCGATGGCGTCATGGTGACCAGCGCTGAAAGCTCCGAGGATTCATCGTCCAAGGCTTCGAAGTCAAAGTTTTCACCGTCTTCTGCCATCGTTCGCTGGTGCTTCAAAAGAATTAAAACTGCACAACAAATCAGCGATTTGTGATCATAATGGCTGTCTTGTTATGCTTTCTATTCCATGATCTCGGACTGTCGTTGTTGAAAACTCATCTGACGATGATAATAGAAGCTCGATTTCTCGGCATCGTCAGATTACTGAGGAGATAGCCTGATAAACCTTCTATGAATTCTTCTCTTCCCATTTGCATTCCATGCTGTCTCCTTGTTGTTTACTCAATTTTCTGTTCTCCTAGTCTTGCCTCGTCTCTTCGTTACTACCCCTCTCCTGTCCTTCTCTCCTCCTCTCTTCTCTCTATCTCTCCTCTCTCCTTGCTCCTCTCTCCTTGCTCCTCTCTCCTCTCTCCTCTCTCCTCTCTCCTCTCTCCTCTCTCCTCTCTCCTCTTTCTCGCTTCCCTTCATCTTCCTACCATCTTCCTTGTTCGCTCTACATGCACGCGATTCAGCTTTGTCCTTGCACCCTACCCCAAGTCACCTTGAATATTACCCCCACCCCTCTTTCACCTTCTTTTCACCCTACCTTTCTCAGAATCTACCCTACCCACTGCACATGATTATAGTGTTATAATTATGTATAATATGTATAATTCACAAAAACGATTATAAAACAGAAATTTGTCTGGAATTAGCTGAGTCACCGCTTTTCTCAAAATGGACGTGGAAGCTAGGGTAACCATGCCGCTGCCGCTGCCGCCGCCGCTGCCGCTCCTCCTCCTCCTCCTCCTCCTCCTCCTGATCTTGCTACTTCTCTTGATCATCCTTGTGCTCGTGTTGCTCATGCCTCTGCCCTTGCCGTACCTCATCTTCCTGCTCCGTTGCTCGTTCTCGTGTGCTACAACTCCAGCTCAAGCTCCTGTACTACCACTACCGCCGCCTTTGCCGTCACACGCCTCGCCTCTTGACACTCCTTCTCCTGCTCCTTTTCCTGTGCTGCCACTTCTGCCCTCATTGTGCTCATTCTACCTGCAATAATCAATTCATGGTTGAACCTGATGATTTCCTGCTCGCTGAAAGATTGTTTGACAGGAAGAAGAAACTGAACCCAAAATTTTCTCTGCCAAGAAGCGACTGGGACTTGTCGGGGTACTTGATCCAAGGAGTGCGAAGCCAGTCTCATTCATCATTCAGGTCATGGCAGTACTCGCTGGAACGGCTGTGTTCTTCAGTGCAGAAGAGAACGTAGCGGAGACTAAGATATGGGATAGAGAGATGGCTGGAATACGGAATGCGACAGCGTAACTTCAGCCAGCATGCTTCCATAGTTGTTGACTTTTCTTCAGACTGCCTGAACAGCTTGCAAGAAAGTTTCTCATTAGGAATAATCTCGTCTGGAAGCAGGTGCCTTCAGAGAAGGATTGGACCTGTGGTATGAAGTTGGAAAGTTTGTTGAATTCGCACCATTTCCAGGCGGAGGACAAGTGCAAGAGTTATGGTGCAGAAGTGTGTCCCTTGAAGAACGTCTGCAACGGAAAATCGCCAAAGTGAGCGACCATGTGGTGATACAAGGATCTGAGATCATTGTTAGTGCGCAAAGAGTTCTCTGTACGGAGAGAGGAAGGAAGAGATGCACCAAGAAGGATGAGGTTGATCCTTGGATCTTCTCTATCCTGGCCTGATGATCCTCCAGCGGCAACTTCAGAGCAGGTGGGTGCCAGTGAAGGTTGAAGCCAGCAAGCAAGTGAGTGACGAAGGCGGAATGCGGATCAATTATGACGTTCCCTCAGTGGGTCAGCACCGATGACTGCTCGGCTGTTGAGTTTCCCGAGGACAAGAAGATGAGAGGTGTTGTCGCCTGCTGCGGGATGATGCGAGGCAAAGGACCATACGACGTCCTCGCTGTCCACCTTGCGCCTGTCGTGCAGGAGGTTAGGAAGGTACCCGCACTGGCCTTGCGTCCGTTGAAGTCACTTGGGAGAGAAGTCAGGTCTGGGGAAGAGGAAGTACAGACCCGGACAGAGAGACTCCTGGAGTCAGCATGAGTATGTGGACAAGATGAGGAGCAATGATCCGTTCCTCGCTCACAAGCAGTCGGGGACGAAAGTGAAGTCGTTCCATGAGCATGTACGCGTGCTAGAGGAGACCCTTGCTTCTCACACACCTTCCAGGTAACTGACAAGGCGAAAGAGCACTTGGGGACACAGACAGTGAACGCCATCTCTGACAAGATTGCCGACATTCATGGTCAAATGAAGTGAGACTAACTTTGACTTTGAGACTTGATGCTGACGAGCTCGTTCAGGTCGGGCATCGGATTGCTTCTCAATTCCTTTTCTCCTTCGGCCAACGCAACCTCCACATCGAACCTCAAAGAATCCGCTCGCACGTGAGTACGAGCTTGCGTCGCTCTCGTCCTCACGGTGGTCAAAGGAAACTGTCGTTTGGAGTCACTCAAGCCGTCAGGAACGCGACGAAGCAAGGTCGTTCGAGGCCTCGTAGAGCAGGCTAAGCCACTGAAGGTCAAACCTTGCAGGCAAGGGTTGGTCACCTTGAGGTGGAACGATCTCTCAACTGTTCGAGTGAGTGGAGAAGGGGCGCATCCGAGGCTCCTTGGAATGTACAGGATAGGTTTACGGAAAGATGTTCTGCCTTCTGTCGGCTGCTGGCTTATTGGTCAAGCTTGAATTGTAAATAAAGGATCCTTGAGGGATACTGAGAAATGGTTTCTTCTTTCAGACGGGAGCCTTCTTTCAGACGGGAGCCCAGGGCCCTCGCTTGCATCATACATTCCTCCTAGCTCGTTCACTGTCTGCTCTTGCGACCTCCTCTCTTGACAGCTTTTTTTCTTCCTCCTTCTTCTTCCTTAGGTTGATTTTCTCCTGGGCGCACGTCAGGCAACGCGTTGCATGCGGACGGTTGTTAGAGAACCTCTTCTGCTATCCTTCTTGCCAGCTCCTCGTCGGCCGCTACAATCTCCTTTTGCTTGTTCTCGGAATCTAGAATCTCTTGGATGGCCCGTTGACTCGCTTCTTCAGCCTCTTTGTTCTTCCGGTGTCTCTCCTCAATCTCCTTTAGAAGCTTTATCTGCTCCATGATCTGATCTTCCTGCCCAGCTTCTTGTGCTGAGCTCCCAGCTTCCGCTGCCAGGATGGACTTGATCGTCATTTCGCTCTGCTCCTGCTCCTCTTTGGATCGAAGCAGCCATTCTTCCCTCCCCGGCGCCATGGCTCTCGCAGCTTCTTCGTACTCCTTGCCGATCACTCCGTATGGCACCATCTGTGCGTCTCGAGAGCGCTTCTCAGCGAAGACGTCGTCCTCCAAAGGTCTCTTCCTGCTCAGTTCTTCGATGTTGACGTCTGTGAACAGGCTCTTGGGTGTAGTGGTTCGAGTGAACTAAAGGAGGAAGGAATCAGCTTTCATCATGGTGATTATGTTGAAGAAGCAAGTCACACACCCACTAACTCATCCTTCTCTCCTCGTCACGCAGACAAGACTTGCTCATCGCAAAGGCAGCCCTCCCTCCCTCCCTA